AGGTAATTTGGCGGGAACTTTTTAAACGCGGCGACGCCTCGGCGCGATGACGTGAGCTCGGCGGCCCCGAGGCATTGTGGGAGTTGTAGTGCGAGAGGTGGGGAGCCGCCATCGATCTCCTTCGCCTGATACTGACCTCCTCGCCCCGCAGGAGCAGGGAAGGGAGCCAGGCGGTGCGGTTCATGTCTGCAGCGTGGCACTGGGGGTTCCCTGCTCACCCCTGGGCTCCCCTCAGGGCTGTGAGGGAGTTGGCCACAGGGGATGGCGACACCTTCTCACCTCAGTCTCTTGCTTTCCTTGCAGGCTCCAGCTGAAGGCGAGGCAAAGGAGGAGGTAGGAGCTGCTTCTTCCGTGCTAGTCCCCAAGAACTTGGGTAGTGCTCCAAATAAATTGAGGTCCCCCGTACCTTCTGCAGGCTCTGCAGCCCCTGGGGATGGGGTGCCTGTGCCCATCCATTGGCCTGTCACCTGAGGTGGGCTCTGGGTATCCCCACTGGAGCCAGTGGCTCCGCTGGGCTGAGGCCATTGGGTCCTGTGGCAACATGTCCCCTTTAGTCAACGGCTTAGTGACAAGAGCCTTCATGATACCGCTCCTGCAAGTAAAGGAACTTTATCACTCACAGTGGGGTAAAAGGGCGGTAGCAAGGAGTGAAAACTATTGAACAAAGCTGTGCTTTGGGGAAGTCATCACCATAACGGCCGTAATTTAATAAGTTCTAGAATTTGTATGGGCCTTCGTGGTGTAGTGTCTGTGCCATGTTATTCTGGGTTGCAGTTCTGAGAAAGCACTGCTGTATATGCTTGCTGAATTTGAGTGACACATGTTTCTTTACACAGCCAAAGAGAAGATCAGCTAGACTATCCGCTGTAAGTATCTTTATTTACTCTTTTCGTATTACATCACATAGGATGCTAAGTTCTAGGGGACAGTTATAGAGAAACTTTCATTTTTTCCCCACCAATATTGTGAAAGGCGTGGTTAGAGTATTGCAGTATTGAAAAGTAAAAATTCCTGTTCTCTGTTTCTAGTCTTTGAGTATCAACACCTTACAGGTTTACTTTAGACATGTGTCAAGATGCATTTTTTCTCTGTAGGTCTCCATGCAAATACCTGCTCATAGCTCCACAAATTACCTCCTCTCTTCTTATACTTGTAATCTGCCCAATGACTTTACGGGCCCAACTGTTGGGTAGACTGAGACCCAGAGGGTGTAAATCTGTCATGTGGGTTCAGCCTTAAACAGGCTCTTGGCATCCTTTTCTACAGGCACTCAGTGCACTCAGCCCTTTTTTAAGCCATTTTGGAAATGCCAAGTGGAAACAGTTGCTATTTAAAAGAGGAAGTACTTAATTTTAGTGTAAGCTAAGATGTGCATTCATACATAGAATTATGTCCAAGTGTTAATACCTTTTATTTTTGATACATGCTTGCCTTCGTAGCAGACAGTAACACCCAGACACAGTAATGATCCACTTACTACTACTATCCGCATCTGTACCATGATTGCCATAACAGAGATGAGGAGACACGGGTTTGGATAAAAAACACACTGATCTGTCTCTCATGTTTTTTCCTTTATAATGCAGAAGGAAGCAGCCAGCTCTAAACTACTTTCTTGAATAGTTTTGAGAAGTTACCAACATACTGCTAAAACATTGATAGCATTTGTCTGACTGTTTCTTGTGTACGTTTTGTGCAGAAACCTGCTCCGCCTAAACCGGAGCCAAAGCCCAAAAAGGCAGCACCTAAGGTAAGTGTTCAAGATCTCTCTTAACTGAAGTTGTACTTTTCTTTCTCAAAGTGTTTATAGAGGTAGAAAAATCATCCACAACTAACCGTTTTGTTTCTTCATCATTTTCTTTAAAGATGCAAGATTTAATTATGTGAGTTAAAAGAACGTGGAAGGTGTAAGGATAATTTTATCCAGTTCCTAGGGAAGGAATGGGGTAAACTGAACAGACTTTAATTCAGTTGTGATGAGGCTTTACTGCTTGCCTGGCAAGGCCATTCTGAAGTTTCATATAATGTATTGTTGAGAAAATGATGCTTTGAACAGAGATCAGAGAGTCAGTTAGAGAAAGCATTCAAAATCATGTTTTTAATTACAGTTTCTTACCATGTTTTCATTGAAAGGCACGTTTTTCAGCTAGTTATCAGTTTATCAGATTTTAATCACTGGAGATAAAGTTCTACGTGCCCGTTTTCTTAAGCTGGATATATTTGGAAATGTCAAAAATATTGGCATATCTGACAGTATAGTTAAAAAAGAAACTATTTAAAGCTCTTTTTTGCTTTGGAAGAACAGTTTGAAATTTAAAAGGGGACAGTTGTGCAATCCATGAGGTATTTCTTTATACCCCCTTTCTGCCAAACTTCCCCAGCGGTCACAGCTTGCAGTGCTTTTTTTAGGTCTATCTGTCAATATTCAGACTGTATGAGGATTTTGCAGCTGGGAAAAAAATAAACAAACAAAAACCAAACAATCTGACCCCAAAACACAATCTCCCAAGCCCCACTTTAGTGTTCTTTTTAGCCTGTTCCCATCGTACATTTTCCATTGTGGTTTCAGGGGATCATGTGGATGAAGCACAGGTGCAGGAGATGCTGTAGTTACAGGAGGGGTTGATGGGTTGTGGACCAGGAGCTTTGCTCTGTACATTTAAAAGCCCTTGCAATTGCATATGGCACAGAAGGCTTCCAGGTGATGAAGATTATTCTACCTCCAAGTCCTTCTATACTGAGCAGCAGAGATGTCATGAGACATGGACAAGGCGGAGAACCCCGCTTGTAGCTTTGGGGACCCCACGTCTCAGCTCTGTAACTGCAGTGCTGTGTAAAGGAAGTTTTTCACATTGGCATCTCTGTGGTGCAGCTGGACATGTAGATCCCATTCCAGAGAGCAGGGCAATCCAGGAACTCTGCTGCCCTGCTTTCCTGTGGCTGTCACGCACTGGATTGCATCTCCCTCTAGTGGCTGCTCCCTTGGGAGGAAGAGAGCCAACTATGGGTGGTTGCCTTTCCAGCCCAAGTGGCAGAGAGCTGGCTTGGGGATCTGAAAGTCCTCAGCCTCTGCTGGTGACCTGTGCAGAGGTCAGTGCAGTTGCACATAATGCACGTTGTTGGTATTTTCTTTTTTATAATTTTTTGAAATTTTATTTTTATGGCAGCATCTCAGGGTTTATACACAGAAGCTGCATAAACTGAATCTTAAAAGTTGTGAAAATAAGCATTCAGAACTCATTTTGTAAGAGACAGTAGTGGTAGAACAAGGGTTAATGGCTTTAGACTGAAAGAGGGAAGATTTAGATTAGACGTTAGGAAGAAGCTTTTCCCTGTGAGGGTGCTGAGGCGCTGGCACAGGGTGCCCAGAGAAGCTGTGGCTGCCCCATCCCTGGCAGTGTTCAAGGGCAGGTTGGACACAGGGGCTTGGAGCAACCTGCTCTAGTGGAACGTGTCCCTGCCCATGGCAGGGGGTTGGAACTACATGATCCTTAAGGTCTCTTCCAACTCAAACCTTTCTATGGTTCTATGAAGTTAAGGACTGTGACTCTCAAAACTTAGTTTGGTCCCTTACCGCACAAGCGGTATGGCGCGGTTTCACTTGGCATTCATAGGCAGTTTAGTTCTGTTGGGAGTGCTGCCTTGGTCATTGCCCTGCACAGTGAACCCCCATTGGACTTGGAAAGCATTGGCTCTCATGCTGGTTTGAGGTCAGTATAGTTGAGCTGTATTTTTGGCTCTCTACTGCTCCTAATGCTGGATCAATATCTGTGTAAAAGGTTATGTAGTAAGAATTGTGCAGGCATTTTAATTCTTGTTTCCTCCAAGTGCTTTACTTTACAACCTTCAAGTTCTTTAAATGTTTTGTGTGTCAGAAAAGATTCCACCTTTTAAACTCAGCCATATTGAAAAACATAGAGCTGGGAAAAAAAGTTTTGTCACTTTGTAAAACGTGACCTTATTACTGAATTGATATTGCCATCTGTATAGAAAAATTAATTCAACAGTATTAGCTCAGAACTAGCTGAAAGGGTGGTAGGAGCTCAGAAATTGAAAAAATAACATTGTTTTCTTGTTGTTTTTTTTTCCTGGACTCAGTTGTGGAAGGGGACTTGATGCCTTACAGAGTAACTGTTAGCAAGTCCCCAGAAACCTCAGATCTTGCAGAACAGAGCAGAGATCCTGGGATCCTCACTCACAGCTGTGTGCTGCCAGACACTTTCTCCCTAGTCAGTCCAGCCATGGAAGCCAGTTTCTGTGGATTCTCCTCAAATGCTTTCTTAAAAGGGGCTTTACTAGCAAAGAACAGGCTACAGAGAATTATAGTTTTAGCTCTGTTAACACTTTGTCGTCTTATTTTGATGGGGTGAGGGAAAAGATGACCTTCTTCAAACAGCCCTAAGCCTTTAAAAAACCTTTATGGCTTACATTGGAAGAGCAAGTGACTAACACAGTTGTGCTCTTGAGCATGGAGCATACTGGTGCTGCTGGAGGAATCCTTCACAGTGGGCTCCTTTTTTTTGTGCTTTAAAGGTCTAATGAGGTCTGTTCAAGTGACAGAGAGCAAACCAGCACCACAGTAGTATTGCAGTTTTAAATCTTACTGCTAAACAGTACCAGAATACATGGGTGCTGATATTATTGTGATAGTTCTGTTTTTTCCAGCCTGTCTTTAATACCAGAGGACTGTTCAGCCAATGGAGGGGAAAAGGAGTGAGTGGAGGCATGGTCTTTTCTTTCCTCCTCTGGTGACACTTCCTTCTCTCAGAAAGATTCACTCCATATCGCTGATAAGACAGTCCCCAGGGATGAGGAGAGACCTGTTGGGAGTGGGCATGAGGCCCTGGGAGAAGGGGTCTCCCAACACTGTATTGCAGTAGAGTTTTCTAGGTGGTCTGAAATCCCTCAGCAAGGTCAGCCTGGGGAGCAGGAGGTTAGACTGGAAAGAGACCCCCACCCATTTGAGTGCTGCTAACCTCCCATCTTAAATTTGCTGTAATATTGTAGGATTTGGTGTTAATTTTGGTGAATTTTTAATCACCAGTGTCATGGAAGAATTAGGTGACTGCCCCTTACTACACTCCGTACCTGAGTTCAACTTTTAACAAGCAGCTAATTTGTAATATAAATTAATTTTGTACACTAATAAGCAAGGTGTTGAAATAAGAAAGTATACTTTTTGTAACTTCTAGTCACAGAGGCAACTCCATCTTCTGAGTAGATCTATATATATTCAGTAATCTGTTATCTTCACTTCCCTGCAAGCAGTAATTTTGCAGATATTTATGGTTCCTTCGCTGGAACTAGGTTAATCAAGTGAGGAACTAAGCTGGTTTGCTTAGTGCAGTTACTTACTGGCAGCAAGAGGCAGATCCTTGGAAGTGAAACTAATGAGAGTTGTGCTTGTTACTGCACTGGAGTTGGGATCTGACCTTGCCATATAGAAAACTGTTGCTACCAAAGTTGTAGCATCAAGTTTTGCTTTGATTTAGCCTGATCCATGTTCAAGAATCCGCACTTAGATAATAAATGCAAAGTTCTTGTTACTGAAGTGATGCTGTTGAGCTCCCAACTTGTCGATCACACAAATGGTTTATTATAGTAAGGAATATTTCTGGCAGGGAAGGGGGAAAGTCCTTTGACTACAGCTTTGTTACAGTTTTCTAAATAGGCATTAATAGCACATCTGAAGTATTCTGGTATTTCCACTAGTTGTACATATTCTTTTTGTTCTGTGGTATGCCTTTCAGCAGCACAGCAGAAATACAGGCCAGTTCAACATTTTTTAGCTAATTTAATTGAATGCCTATTTAAAATAGGAATTCTTTTAACCCCATCCATGGCTGCTTTTATATTACGTACTTCCAAGTAGCACAGTCAGGACAGAACAGAAGGAAAGCACTTCTCCTTAGGAACTTTGATCTCGTCTTTGTCAATAGGAAGTTCAGTGAGCAGAAGGGGGTTGTGAAGAGTGTTTTGGAGCTGAGAAGGTGCTCATGCAGATGCACATGGTGGAAAGTAGCGTTAACTGTATCACGGTCTGTTTTCTTAACAGAAAGAAAAGGCAGCAAATGATAAAAAGGAGGACAAAAAGGCAGCAACAAAAGGGAAAAAAGGAGCCAAAGGCAAAGATGAAACTAAACAAGAGGATGCTAAAGAAGAAAACCACTCTGAAAACGGAGATACCAAAACTAATGAGGTATTTTAGCTACAGTAAACATAGGACTAAGCACAGATGTATTGGTAATAGAGCTGCAGAAGCTAGTGGCTGGGCCTCCCTGTCAGAAGGTGGTGTGTTTCACTGCAGTCCTGTACAGACAGACAAGCTGCAGTATCTGCACAGGGCGTCTCCCAGGGAGAGCCTGAAAGAATAGCATTTCCTTCAAACTCAGTCCTGCTGTATGCTAGAGCCCTTCCACAGGTGGTCTGTGCTGTTGTAGTGCCTCTCTTGTGGTTGGCACTATCGGCAGTGCAGAATATTTGGGGAACAATAGAGCTGAGTAAGATTACTGTCTAACCCTGAGCTGACTATGCATAGCCTCTCTGGACTGCTGGATTGCCTCTTTTGCTCAGCACAGGTTGGTATTGTGCCAGAAATCTGGTTTTAAGTTTTACACAATTCTTTAAAACAATTCTTTGCCTCAGAACAATTCAACAAGAACTCTGCAAAACGAACTCGGTCTCGTCTCTTGATCTGCAAGCCTCTTTCTTATCATAGAATCATAGAACAGTTAGGGTTGGAAAGGACCTTAAGATCATCTAGTTCCAACCCCCCTGCCGTGAGCAGGGACACCACACACTAAACTATGTTGCCCAAGGCTTTGTCCAGCCTGGCCTTGAACACCTCCAGGGTTGGAGCATTCACAACTTCCTTGGGCAACCTGTTCCAGTGCCTCACCACCCTCACTGTGAAGAACTTCTTCCTTATATCTAACCTAAACTTCCCCTGTTTAAGTTTAAAGCCATCACCCCTTGTCCTTCCACTACAGTCCCTAATGAAGAGTCCCTCCCCAGCATCCTTATAGGCCCCCTTCAGATATTGGAAGGCTGCTATGAGGTCTCCACGCAGCTTCTCTCTCCAGGCTGAACAGCCCGAACTTTCTCAGCCTGTCTTCATATGGGAGGTGCTCCAGTCCTCTTATCATCCTCATGGCCCTCCTCTGGACTTGCTCCAGCAGCTCCATGTCCTTTTTATGTTGAGGACACCAGAACTGGACACAATACTCCAAGTGAGGTCTCACAAGAGCAGAGTAGAGGGGCAGGATCACCTCCTCTGACCTGCTGGTCATGCTTCTTTTGATACAGCCCAGGATACGGTTGTCTTTCTGGGCTGCAAGCGCACACTGCCTGCTCATGTCGAGTTTCTCATCAATCACCACCCCCAAGTCCTAAGAGGTTCCATTGGCTAGGACTAGCTACAAGCTTCAGTCAGCTCCTGATGGCCATTTCCTGGCAGATTTCTTGCTGGCAGAAGGAGTGCAACATTTGCTGCAGGCTCCCTTTGCCCCTCTAGGCACAGACTAGCCTGTTGTGTTCTCTGTTACTTTTGACTGACAGTTGTCTCTGTTCATGGGTTGAGTATCGTTATCCAGTCAATGGGTTGTTTCTTCTTTCAGTTTTAAAACTAAACTTATTTTTAGCTTCTTTGCTAAAAATTAATATGGGACTAATATACTTCAAAGGATCTGTGACAGGATCTTTGCAGTTTGGATATGTTGACTTAAGAAGTAACAGCAGACATTTTTATAGAGAACAGGTGAGAACCAGTTTCCCTGAAGTTTGGACAGTAGACAAGTATCATAGTTTTACATGGAATTCTTACTTCCCTGTGACTTACAGAGATGAGGACTTGAACCTGCCCTAGTGTGTGGCTGATCCTAAGCTAAAATAGGTTCTAAACTTCTGCCTCTTTGGAGGCACTTAACATTCCAAAATTAACTCAGATATTAATGAATACTCATCTAAGTGTTAATTTTTAGATTTCTCAGCCAACATGTTGTTGTGTTGATATTTTCTGTAGTAGCTGTGTGTTCTTGTCTGTCTACACAAGATGTTGTCCATGTCTGTGCTAACAAACTAGTCTCTTTGATGCTTGTTAGAATGGAATCCGATAAGCATTACCAATAATATTTCTATTCTTCCCAAACACTTTTATAGGCACCAGCTGCTGAAGCATCTGATGATAAGGAAGCCAAGTCCGAGTAATGTTAACCCTGCCCTATATCTCCATCATTTGGTATCCGTACCTCCATGCTGTATTGTTAACAGAGAGGAATATTTTTATCAACTATTTTATAAATGCAGGTTTTTTTAGCATGAATTTAATTATGGAACATCTTCATCTCGGTTACTTGGGAATTAAATCCCTAACAAACAAAACAAAACAAAAAAATCATTGTTTTTAAATTTTGTGATTGTAATAGTTTGTATGGTACATGGAAAGAATAAGTGGTGGTAGCTTTTGACTTCTGTCAGTGTGTCCCTTTTTGTGTAAGTAAGTCATGCTTACAGACTCCAGATTTTAATTTTCCCCTTGTATGTGTTGTATGGTTTCTTAAAGTGGGGAGGTCTCAAAACAAATAACCGTGTTAAACATTCCAGTGGTTCTGTGGGTTGCTTTTATAAAGAAGGTGAGCTATTTTCATGAAAAAAAAAAGAAAAAACCTAAGAGCTGGAAATCTGTTGTTTCCCAAATGTAATTTTATTTTGTCAGTTTTGAAAAAAAAAAAAAAAAGAAAATAAATAAAAGTGTAATCATGTTTTTAAATGAAATACAAACATTTCTTTTAAAAGGGCAGGTTGGTTGTATGTACCCACTGTTAGGAATTTTGCTGGATTTATCTTAATAAAAAAGACTCCTCAAAAGCTGATTGTGGTTTGTTGCTTGTGCTGCAAATGTACTGCTGGAATGCTGCCAAATTCCACAAGTGCTGCAGTAGTACAGGGCTTAGGGCTGAGGGGACCTGTGCAGCCAGAGCGCTTTGGGCCACAGCACAACTGGGGCTGGAGCCCCTCTTTTCCTCAGCTGTGGAAGTGGCTCCTCTCAGGAGCTGGCATGGGAACAGGCAATGGCAGAGGAGATGTGCCAGGTTACACCAGTTGGGAACCAGAGCCAGTGCTTCCAGGTGGAGGCTGAGCTTGTGAACTCCAGTACTACTTGCTCAAGCCACATTGGGGTGCTTGGTGTGGCCCAGCACACCTTGAGCAGTACAGACATTCCTGTAAACTCTGAAGGGCATCATCTGCTTTTCTTTTATGTGCCTGTTAATTGGTGTGATTTGAGGGGGCTTCTTCCCCCTTAGAAATACTGCACAAACTTGGAGACTACCACGTTTACATCAAACCCTTACTGGTACAGGATAGTTTTCTGTTGGTGGAGGAATGTTCATAGTCATGGTTAACATCCATGCTTTCATAACTGCTGTTTATAGTTTTCGTCTTTACCCATATATTACTCACAAAATGCTTTCTTAGACTCACATAGCTTCTAGCATGATAAGGTGTGTACAGAAGTGCTTTCCACCAGTGCAAGCTTTATTACTGTGGGAAATGACAGCTAGGCTGGCAGGTAGTTAAGTGAGGCATTACTGTTGGTTTTACCTTGTCTCATTTTTGTTGCTACGGCTATTCTATGCAACTTTATCAAAGACGCTTGAAATATTCCTCTTAAAGCCTCATTTTATGTAAAGTCTTTTCACACTGATGACCAAATACATTATATATTTCATAAGAAGAAAAATGTCTGCAATGCAGAAACCTTATCTTTCACATTAAATTGTTTCACAGCCCAGAAATAGGAAATACGAAGAGCTTGCATATTTTTATCTGCTATCCAAAACTGAGGCATTTCAACACATAGCATCCTGTATTAAATGTGTGTTTCAGGATCAGTACCCCAGGGCATCAGCTACTGGATGATCTTTAATGTGGATTTAATTTTCAAGGCCTAAAGCACCAGGGATTTTTATTCCTCCTGCAACACCTTCATTTGGTAGAACTGCTCTAAACACACCAGGGTTAACTGGGCCAGAGCTCCCTCAGCAGTGAAAGTGAGAGAGTATTTAGGAGCCTTTTCCTTTGCAGGGTATTCCTTAGCTGCAGTGACTTTCAGGCATGCTCTGGTCTCTTCTGCAGTGAAAGCTGATGGAGAGAAGTAGCTGGAATCCCTTCCCTGGTGGAAGCATGGTGAGATGGGTGGGTAAAACCAGGGCGATTCGGAATGTCCCCATTAGAAGATGATCCAATAGTTCAAATCCTGACACTTTCACATCTAAATCCTGACACTTTCACATCTAAAAACTATTTACTGGATTTAGCCTGCTTTTGAGCAGTGAACAATCACAAGCCCAGCAGTGTGCTCTGCATACATGGTACAATCATTTTTAGGGTCTGACTGGATGCTGCTTGAAGCTGATGAGAAATACCAATGGGCCTGTACTGCCTCGGGGAGAAAATGCACATTGGAATGAAATGTTTTATACTCATGCATCCCTCTGCCGCCAGTGGTTTCTCTAAAAGGGCTTGAAGTAGCAGGTCCAGGTCTGCAAGTAAGATGAGCTCCTTCTCCAGGTCTTAGCACCACTGAACCGTTTCACTTTAGCTTTAATCACCAAGGACTTCAAGGATTGTGATTTAAATAACAGCAGACACTATGAATATGGATGATACTTTCTTCTTAGCAGAGGGCTCATCTATATGCCAAGGTATCACCAGCCCTTCATACGCTAATTGAGATCGTTCTGTATGTCAAGGCATGTTTCTCCATTTTCATCCCGAGGTTGTTACACCAAAACATACAATTGAGTGTTTGGTTTTGTTTATTTCTTCCTCTTCTGGTGCCAAGGCGAGAGTTGTTCTTAATTCTATAACTATTGTTATAATCAGACTCCTGTTTCAAATAAGTACAGAAAATTGCTTAACTTTTCAGACAAACCTCCTCGCTCAAATTTGTAACTTTTTGAGCCACGGGGTATTGAGCGAGTTGCACAACTGAATAGATTGCCTGCCTTGTGCCAAATCCTCCTCATCTGTTGGTCCTGATGTCTAGACACCAAATCAAAGGCAAGCTCCACATCCGCTTGTGAGCTTTGCTTAGCTTATGATTGTCCCAAAAGCAGAGGTTTTGACAGGAGAAAGCTTTTCCACTGACCAGTCAGCTGGGTGCACCCACTTTCAGATTCAGTTGGAGTATGGGGGAAAGCCACTTTCCCCACGATCCTTGGGTGCCACACAGCAGTGCCCTGGGTGTGGGTGGGACACGTCTGCCCATTCCAGTGCTGTTTATGAAAGGTTGGGAGGCAAAATCACTGCGGGAGCTTGATTATTGTTATTAATCATAACAGTTAGGACCTTAGCAGATGTGATGTGGTGAAGAGATTCATGAGTCTACAGCTAGTGATGGTTCTGAGGGGACATAATGATGTTTTTAGCTGAGGGGGAGAGATTTATGATGAGGTTGGCAAGAACTTGCCATAGTGAGATGCCTGTGTAGCTCATGGGTTATCGGACAAGACATGGGTGCAACTGTTGGCTTGGATTTTACAGTGAAACCTGGTGCAAGGAGGCAATACTGCTGGTTATAATGTTTTAGATACCCCTTTTGAAGTAGTTTGAAAACCTTGCACGCTGTTTAACAAGCAGACCGTGAGCACTTCTGATGCTGTTACCTGGGAACCCTGCAAATCCTCACACCTTACATGCAGAGAAAACCCGAGGCAAGTGCAGTCTGCAGTGCATCCCAGTGCTGGGCACCTGAGTGACCAGAGCCAGGCCCAGGAGATGCCACGGTGTCAAGAGCAGAGAGTTGGAACTAGATGGTCTTTAATGTCCCTCCCAACCCAAACCATTCTGTGAGGAGAGCAGAGTGGTTCTGGTGGGATTCAGTCAGTGCCTGGGGCCACGTTACCCTGTCACATAGGAACACCAACAGCGTACAGCTATAGTGTCAACGTCAGTACAGTGAGCTGACAGTGAACAACGACCCCATTGTAGTGCAACACTGAGGGGGTCGTGTTAATGTTTCAGACTCATCTTACTGCTGAGGAGGTTCCTCATAATGACTATTTAGTAGCAATCATTGGGCAAGTAAGGCTCTTTACTAGGATTTTTGTTTTGTCATTCTTGCCAGGCTTGGTGCATTAATACAGCTCACAGTGTAACTTTTGGTGCAGGATCCTAGCTCAGCATGGGGATAAGGGAACTTCAGATGCCTTTGAAGTTTAAGAGAAAGTGCTGAGATTTCCCATTCCTTGCAATAATGCATGTTCTTACTGGATCCTCAACAGAACTTGGGCAAGCATTTGCTTATTGTTCAGTCAGAACAATGAAAGGCTTCGAAAAACACAGATCACCATCTTGGAAAGTGAGGTCTGAAATAAAAGGAAGTGGCTCTAGATTCTTTCCTGGTGTTCACCATCAGCAATGTACTGGGGCAGCAATGGTAGAGAACAAGCATGGCAGAAAAGGAAAGTCGCAGGTAGGTACTTGGGATTAAAACAAAAGGGTAAATGGGGGAAAGATAAAAAGAACCCAATCCCCCTGTACCACATACAAGGCAGGTTTTTAGGCACATCCTGTATCCACCTCTGCTCCTTTGGCTGAAGTGACAGCATGCAAGAGCCAAAAAATCTGGCAGGTCTGATGTTCAGATCAAGAGCAACTCCCTGGTAGTTAATGGAGTTACACTGGTGTTAATCTGATGAAGTAGAAAGAAAATTGAATCCCCTGAATAGGAGCGGATGGCTCTTCTTTCTAATTGTCCCAGTGGTGATGTTCCTTCCCCATGGAGCTGGCGTGGGAGCCCCTGCTCTGAAACCTGATGCTCTGGGCAGGCTCCAGAGAGCTGAGAACAGCCCCTGGGCCTTGCCGCTGCCTGGCTCTCCAAGAGCCTCTCCTTTGGAGAGAACAATGTCAGCGTGGCATCCGGCCAGCGACCATCCCAGTGCCCCAGAGAGGCAGGAGCTGGTCACCAGTGCGCACGGAGCCGGGTGACAGCAGTCAGTGGTGTCTCGTTTGGCCATACCCCTGCTTTTGAAGCAGTGTGGTTAGGATTGGGCTCAAGGAGGGGATGGGGAGAGAACCAGTGTGCTGCTCCCACAGCCTTCATCCGCCCTGGCTGAGCCAACGCTGCTGGAGGAGGACAGCGAGGAGCGAGGATTGCAGAGGAATGCAACACTGCTTTCCTCCTGTGGCACCAGCGAGGGAATTGCTTGAAATGTGTCAAAGGGAAACATGCCTCAGGCAACACGGTCCAGGGTGAGACATCCCTGCCCATGGCAGGGGGTTGGAACTAGATGATCTTAAGGTTCTTTCCAACCCAAACCATTCTGTGATTCTATATAAGCGATGTCCAGATGTGTTAGCGTGAACTTCAGGCTGACGTAACACCTGAAAGTGGTGAAATGGAGTAGGTGCTTATGTGATATAAAAGGAATTAAATCATAAATTAGAAAGCTCTGTTTCTAAAAGAGTGGAAATCAAACTGACACTATAAAGCCCTCAAAGGCATGTTAATACAATTGGACACATGTTAAACATTTCCAGACGTTCTTAAAAGAAGCAGGGGGAGAGAAGCATAAATAACAGGCAAAAATGCTGCATTTAAACCTAAAAACTGAGTGGTCAGGACCTCTTCTTCCTCCCTGCGCTGGCATCCCCAGCAGTGGGTGCCCATCATGGGGCCTGGCTCTCTGGTTTACCATTGGGAAATGTCTCCCAGCCAAGCGAAGTGTGTTGCTTTCATTAGGGATGAAGAGTAGCGCAAGCCTGGAATTCACAGTCAGAGCTGCTTGTAAGTTATTCGAGAGCCAAACCCCAGAAAAATGGCCAGGGTTTTGTTTGTTTAACATTAACAATTCGGGGAGGGGGT